TCCGTGTACGAATTCGAGCAAAACGGTACCGGAACACAATGCAGCAAAAATTCATGCAACATCCGAGAAGAAAAGTTCGATTGCATTTCACAAACAGCGACGACGCGGCTCTCGAAAAGACTGAACGGCCGAACAAATAGGCCCCGATAATCGTTGCCGTCTCGAATAAAACCACGATTACAACTCAGCCGAGTTGCTACGTCACCCCCGTAACAGCCGCAGAAAACGCATCGATAAAAATGAAATAAACTATATAGAGAGCGATGGCATGCACGGCCAGCGACGGTTCGGGGAGGCAGTTTCCCAACAACAGGGTCGCAGCAACGAGAGAAATCAATCTTCGGCGGAGCATCTCGCGGCGAGATCGACTCGCGCGAATAATAAACGTGGCCGAGCGTGGCTAATAATCGAGGATAACTAGCGATGCATCGGGTTACGCGTATCCAGCAAGTGGGTCGGGATCACGAACCGGCTCTCGAGAATCGCCGCTCTCGGCATGTAGGTGTAGGTTTCTGGAACGCCGGTCTCGGCGGAGATCGTCGGAATCAGGGGCACAGAGTGCATCTATCCTCGCCGCGCAGGCCGCGACGTCGAGGGCCGGAAATTGCACGGATTCGAATCAATTTTCCCGGAGGAAAAGGCCGGACCCTTCGGCCGGCCGTGTCCACGCCGCAGTCCCTTCGAACGGCCGCGCGGAGATGAAACTCGAGTGCAACGGAGAGCAATCGAGAAGGAGGAGTTCGCTCGAACTCCGATGCGATCCGACGCTCGAAAGTTCGTCGGCAGATCTGTAGGCGAACGCCGATTTTCACGGAGGCATTTGCATGCGCGGCCACTGGATTCGAATCCCTCGTAACGGGAAAATATTCGCCCCGATTTCGGACGGAACAACAATGGAGCTCTTGTTGTTACCGCGCCGATTTTTATCTTCATGCCGCGAACGCGTTATCTGCTGCCTGTTTGTCCGAATTTTTTCGTACTGTTCTCGACGGTGTTTCATCGAGCGGATTGCTTTGTCGACCGGCTAGTGCGGGAAAGTCGAAGTGGACCCGATCGCGGAACAGATCTATTTTGTGTGAGCCGTGAGAGATAATTATTATTTAAAAGGTACTTGAAAAGAGACTCAAAGTCGTTGAATAAGATAATGCGAGTATTCAGTTCGATTTGAGAAGATTGCATCCTTTGCATCTCGTTGTCAAGGAACATATTAGCATTAGATTTACGCAACCCGTCAAAATGGCGGGTCATTAATTTTTCTAATTTACGATTATTCAGATCACATTACATTTACATTTATGTGTTATTTATTCAATTTATACGTTGCTTACGGCAAATGTTACGATAATACTTGCTAAAAATCAGAATAATTGTCTTATTGTTACTTTTATAAACTGATGTAAAACTGCTGTTTTTTGTGCTCCGTAAATCTAGTGTTAATGAATACGTTGGGTAGTTTTATTGAATGCGTGGATCTTGATGCAACAATGGTGTACACGAATGCGAAAGAACTATGCGAAAGAATGTAGAGTGGGCTAGAATCATAGTGGCGCAACTGACATTTTCCTTATCATGAAGAAGAAGGAATATCATTGTTTTTTACTGACCGAAATGTGTTGCTAACATAATTTAGAATGAAGCTGATCAACAGTAACTTGAGAGTTAAGTTAATTAGCAATAACTTTATAAATTATTTCACTTGTCTTCGTAACATTTTGGTACGTATAGATTACATTTTAAAGACGTAAGTCAAAATTTCCGAACACGTGACCTTACGCCACTATAATCATGCTTTGTGTAGAAATGCTTGTCTTTTTTATATGGTAAAAAAGTTTTATAAAAAAATGTTATATGGCAAAATTAAAATCTTACAACTTAGTATCAATACTCAAATTAAATAGAGTACGTTTATTCGAACAAACATAGATTTTCGATTAAAATTGCAGACAAGTGCCTGGACAGAGCTCGTTTCGCTTTCAGTTTTCAATCGCGTTCCCAGGGCATGCAATTAGTATGGGAATAATAAATAGCCAAACTCGTGTCCACCATCAAGCCCTCGCGATTTCACGCCCCCCGACTGTTTTCACGTGAGTCACCAACGGCGCTCGTTGATTGCCAGCAATTAAAAGTAATGACGCGTCGACTTCACGGGGAATATTCATGAAACAAAGTTTGAACGACTTTCGTCGCATCGGCGCGTATAGTCGGCCGAGGATCGAGGGAACTATCCTAAGAGCGATCGTCTCATCGATTGTGTTTGCTAATTTAGCTGCTAATTAAATTCCGGCGAGAAGCTTTCTTTTTCAAGATAAAGAAACTAAGCATTCTCTTCTGCTCCGCCATGAATATTTATCGAGATTTTGTTAGAAGGAGAGATTTCGTTAGCTGTCTTCGACGAGAAGTTACTTCTCATTAAATCGATCTGATCGATATCAGATGATATCAAGATGATAAGATGTTTAGAATGCGTAGTATTTTATGATCGCGAATGTGAACATAAGCAAAATCATGCGTATCATATATTTTTTATCTGACGGGTCATCAATCAAGGTTCTCGATATCTATCTTCTGATGTTTTGTTAACAAATCGTATCCTTTGATGCGTTTCAACCTTTATTGTTCAGGCAGCGATATAGAAATTGCAGAAAGCAACTCTTTTTTCAATTCTTTGTCAATTCTTTCTCACGAAAGTAATACAGAAATTGTACTATTCAGACAATAATTTTTGTTCACGAAAATTAAGAAGACATTTTACCATTGTAGGGTCGATTATTTTCAGTATGAGTTACTATTTAAACAACAATTGTTGTTAATAAAGAAGACATTTCACCACTGTGATATAAATTATTTTTAGTAAAAAATACCATTTGGAGAACAGATTTTGGTTACAAAAATTAAGAAGACATTGCACCATTCTGATATCAATTATTTTCGGTAAGAACGAAAATTTAGACAATTTTTGCCCGCAAGAATGAAGAAGATATTTCAACATTCTGCTGTCAATTATTTTTAGCAGAGAATTACTATTTGTACAACAATTATCTCTCGCAAAACTAAAGAAGATATTGTACCATTCTGCTGTCAATTATTTCTTGTCAAGAAATACTATTCGGAGAACAATTTTCATTCATCGAAACGAACCAAGTATCCTCGTCAGATATTAATAACTCTCTTTCGTAAAAACAAACAAGAAGAACTCTCACCACTGAGACAATATTTACATTCAGAAAATTGAAAAAGTCACGGTCGAATCACTCGAATCACGGTCCTCTTCCCAAAAACAGGAAAAATTGCAGCGTTCGAGTATCAAACGCATTCCTGGCTGCAATTTTTTTTTCTTTTTTTCGAAATCACCACGTATTCCGGTACAGTGAAAGCCATAAACAATACAAATTCCCTTCCGCAGAATCCAAAGAAAAATTACGCACCCCGCCCGCCGAAACAGCCGTAAATAAATTCTCTCCCGAGAATCGGCCATAAAACGTGATGTACTGCCGCGGAAATTGAGAGGCTAAGATAGAAAATTTCGCAGGCGACTCTCGGAAGAGAAACGGCACACTGTCGGCTACGGGAGCGATCGAGATGCACACCACGGGTTCGTAACAAGCTTCGTAACAACGAACGATCCATCGGATTCGCGAAAAGAGATCCAACAGCCGCGACGAACGCCTCAATTACCGTCTTCCCTCGCGTCGACGATCCACACAAGACGTTCTGGAACGGTCTCGCACTTTCCTCCGTTTGCACGCGCACGGTTCCCGCGATCTGTTTCGAGATGATCCGGAGCGTTAATTAAGAGGGATGCCCGACGATCGCGCGGACTGTCCGCGCTCCGCCGCGACCGGCTTCTTTTATGAGAATCGGCGCCCTTTCACGCGCTCGCGACTACGCCGCTTCGGGGTGTTCCGCTCGCGGCCAAATTCGAAGCGGTTTACATTTCCCCGAGAGCCGATTACTTAACCGCGAATCACGTGAAAAATCGCGCATCTCGCCGGGAAACTTGCGCAATCACGCTCCCGGGCCTCGCGCCCTCGAATGACGGAAATCGTGGTAATCGGTTAATCATTCCGCCGCGCAACAACTCTTCCCAACGATCGCGAAAAAAAAATCGGCGGAACCTGTTCGAGGCTCTGCAACCTGTCCCGGAGCAATTAGAATCGCGCATCGGGGATTTGACGGCGTTTTCGCGCGGCTCTCGGTTCACGGAAATTCGAATGCAACTCCAGATTGCCAATTTACGGTTTTCGAGAGTATTTGCAATTCGTTCAGCGATTATCGTAACATCGTAACAGCGATTATCTTGTTGATTTAACCCTTTGCACTCGGATGTCTATGCTTCCACGTTAAAGCGGCATTTTTTTATTATTATTATATGTCTTCATATTTTCAGGCAATCGTGTACAAAATCTTTGATTTATTAATTCCAGCAGATTCTTCTTCCAATTCGACTTTGTGTAGCAAAATCGTAACTTTCGCATAATTCAGCAGAAAAATCTTCCGAGTGCCGAGGGTTAAAGTTTGTTACCCTAAAATTAATATTTAGGTTCACTTGTAATTCGGTAGACTCTGGCTGTTTCAGAGAAACATTTACAATGGATAACGTTAATATTCCGACACCGTTTTGAACGCAATAACGTTTTTACATTTGAACCATATGATTTGATTTTTTTGAGACGCGATGATTAGGCCGGCTAGTTTACTAGACAATGTCTGAAACGATTTTTGAGGAAATCGTAAAATTGCTTGGTATATATAACAAAATCTATTTAAAAAGTATATATTTATTTCCTTTTTTATTTATGCTAGCTTCTCGTCGTTCCAACCAATCCAATTTTTTCACTCTTTCTTCTCTCTTTCAACAATCTTTTCACTGATTGGTCAGTGAACTGGGCAGTAGAACGACCTCAAGAAAACCTCAGATCGTTTGGTTCAACGTGAAAAAGTTATCGCGTTTGAAATTGTGTCCGAATATTAAATGTTCGGACAAATGAAAAGTTACTCACTGTAAATCGACTTTCCTCCTTCGGGATGCATCCGAGTGAACGAAGATGCTGTTCTTCGTGCCTTGCCACGATTAAACGGTGCCCTAAAGAAGCAAAACCGGCTGCATAATTGGAAACGAAAGATTTATGGATTATGTTTCTGAAGAGACGAGCGAACGATGAATAATTTCCCAGCGATATATCTCTGAATTCGTGTCACTGGAATATGGTTCCCGAATTAATTATAGACTGCGAGTCACACGGGCACTTACTGTGACACGATCACGCCGGTTTCTTTCGCGAGCACTGCCACCGGAATCGCTGGCAGTGAGCTAAACATCAGTCGGGATGCTGAGCAAGACGAGAGAACGATAGTCAACGACTAAACGAGATGACGAACCGGACGGCCGATATCGGGACAGCCTGCCCCGGCGATTCGGAGGCGACAGCGAGACTTTCTCGCACACTTCCGGGGAACGCGTGGTAGTCGTCTCCGTTAACACGTTCCGTGCCGAGCTTTTTTGACTCGAATCTTCACACTTTGATATTTTACTAAAACTTGATGTATTACGTGCAATTATTAATTCTCGTACACATAACAACGTAACAAAAACTTATCAACGCCCATTCTTGCGGTGGAAATTGATTCTTCGGTTCTAAATTTCTTGTAAACAATTTGTTCGGTTCACTAAGTAAACATGCAAGCGTGTACCATCGATGGTACACGTGGCACGGAACGTGTTAATTAATT